TCGTAGGATTCAATTATTCAATCTTAGGATTCAATTCTTCAATCTTAGGATTCAATTATTCAATCGTAGGATTCAATTATTCAATCTTAGGATTCAATTCTTCAATCTTAGGATTCAATTATTCAATCGTAGGATTCAATGATTCAATCTTAGGATTCAATGATTCAATCTTAGGATTCAATTCTTCAATCGTAGGATTCAATTATTCAATCTTAGGATTCAATTCTTCAATCTTAGGATTCAATTATTCAATCGTAGGATTCAATTATTCAATCTTAGGATTCAATTCTTCAATCTTAGGATTCAATTATTCAATCGTAGGATTCAATGATTCAATCTTAGGATTCAATGATTCAATCTTAGGATTCAATTCTTCAATCGTAGGATTCAATTATTCAATCTTAGGATTCAATTCTTCAATCTTAGGATTCAATTATTCAATCGTAGGATTCAATTATTCAATCTTAGGATTCAATTCTTCAATCTTAGGATTCAATTATTCAATCGTAGGATTCAATGATTCAATCTTAGGATTCAATGATTCAATCTTAGGATTCAATTCTTCAATCGTAGGATTCAATTATTCAATCTTAGGATTCAATTCTTCAATCTTAGGATTCAATTATTCAATCGTAGGATTCAATTATTCAATCATAGGATTCAATGATTCAATCTTAGGATTCAATTCTTCAATCGTAGGATTCATTGATTCAATCTTAGGATTCAATTATTCAATCGTAGGACTCAAATATTCAATTCTAGGATATCGATTCAATTATTCAATCATAGGATTCAATGATTCAATCTTAGGATTCAATTATTCAATCGTAGGATTCAAATATTCAATCCTAGGATATCGATTCAATTATTGAATCATAGGATTCAATGATTCAATCTTAGGATTCAATGATTCAATCTTAGGATTTAATGAATGATTCAATCTTTGGATCCAGGAAATGGTTTACTTTTGAAACGAAATGAAACATGATTTCGTATTCGCATAACCAGCTTTTTCTCCCTTTTGAGAGCAGCTAGTGACTATGATGAATCGGATAGCGAAACGTCTCAAATAAGTGAGATATGTATTCAAAGCGTAACTTTGTAACGTTTTGAAGAAATAAATGTGTTTTAAAACTAAATTCTTGTGCTAATTTGTGCCCACAAAGCTATGCTTCCGCCCTATTTTAAGGCATATGCCCGCGTAATAAATAGTCTCTTTCTATCCATTATAAACACTTAAAGTGCCCCTGTGACGAAAAATCATGTCTCGTTCTTGGTTTTTCAATATCTTGTATAATGCAAAACACATTTGTTGCTTCATGAAAAACGCCGTGTTACAAATTTGAGATGTGAAACACTCTTCCCTATAATAGCACAAAGTTTGAGTTACTACATAAATTCAATACAGGTACAAACTTTAAAACTAGACAGTCTATATAATGTCTTAATGCTAGCGTAGAGAATGAGATGATCATATTTGGTGCGAATTATTCATGTCAGTATAACCTTGAAAGAACGGTACAGCAGGGCATGGGAGGAAGCCCTACTGTAGAGCATTGTCTGTAACAATGCTAATTATAATGCTCTGGGTGCATTAACGTTTGGTTAACAATTCTTTTGTTTTGCCTTTTCCCGGCAATTGTGGAGGGATGTTGATCGCCGATTTAATTAACGATTTCAGAATCATTACTGTCGAATGCAGTTCTGTACGATCTTGACTTAGTACACATCCTCTCTCCTCCGCAGAGGCTTTAGTTTTCTTAGGATTTAATATTACGATGAGATACATTTCACTACACTTTACATGGCGGATCTTGGAACACAAGCGTAGCCGCTGGGCGAAGGAGCGTACACATCAGTGACCACGAGTGACCTTGCCACAAGTGACCACGAGTGACCACAGATGGACTACGAGTGACCACGGATGCAGACCACGAGTGATAAAAAGCCGTTTAGGAACAGATTGTAATTATAAAAGGAGAAAAACGGTTTGTTTTCTCTACCAGGGATAACACTCGGATCTGGTCTAAATTAGAACTCCACACGAGTCAGAACAAATGAACACGCGTGAATACAAGTGAACACGGGTGAACGACTTAGAGCCTGTTCATATGGGGAAAAGTATATCTCGGTCAGCGAGAAAACATTTCGACAAGTTTACAAGCGAGATCTTGCCTTGTTATGAAAATAATATGAAAAGTTACACTGCGTTCATATGAGACGAAACGTTTTCCCGTGTACCGAGATCTCGCTTGTTGACAGGCGAGATCTTGGTGACCAGGATAATGTTTTCCCCATATGAACACAACATATCCACATACTGTTACAACTTACAAGTGCATGGAAGTTCTAAAATATGAAGCGAGTGAGAATAGTATAACTGCAGTTCTTGTTTTCAAAAGACAGAAAACACTTCGCTCTCAAGAGTAAAATAAAACAACATGAAAATTAATGCCTATTGCATCTTTACGATTAAACTAGACCAAAATTTTTTATGCGTTCCACTGTACCATATACAATCTCGTGCCCAGAGCCTACGGTTCTAATTATGTTCGACAACATAAATTTTTGGTATAGTTTAGTACGTCATCTTGCAAGTATATATGGTGGATATGATCTTATCATATTTCACTGGTATTCCGTTCGTGTTCACTTGTGTTCGATCACTCGTGTTAATTCCATTCGAGTTCACCCGTGTTCCATTTGTGTTCACTTGTGTTTACTCATGTTCATTCGTGTTCACTTGTGTTCACTCGTGTTCTGACGCGTGTGGATCCATTACAAACAATATTCGGTGTATACCAAGCTATACTAAGTATAGTGCTGCAATTACCGTGCAGATTGTATCACTGGTATTCCGTATATATATATATATATATATATATATATATATATATATATATATATATATATATATATATATATATATATATATATATATATATATATATATATATATATATATATATATATATATATATATATATATATGGAGGATAGCTTAAGTAAGGCATGATAATAATATAACATAATTACATAATATGAAAATGCAAAATGAATGCAACTGAGGTTGGTCATTCAGGGCCGGTTGTATGAAAGGTGGATAAGCCGTACCCAATGGATAACTGATCGCGTTGAATGAAGTTTGGATAGTATGTTCGGCGCGGATAAATTATTATCCGAGATCCGGAACTAGTAAACACCGCACAAAGGAAAATCCCCCCTAAATATATCAGCATGAATAAGTTATAAACAAATGAGTCCCTGATATAATCACACCTAGCACTAATTACCCTATGGTAGTTTCCTTAAAGCTGTGTGAAGAATGGGGTCACGTCACTCATGCTCGAAAGAATGACTTAACCTCTATTGAATACAAAACTACCCAATCACAAAGTTGATCAGAGTTTTGGGGAAGGGGGCTTTCTTTTTGTGCGGTATTTAGTTTAGAGGTAACATTGAGTTACATAAACACGCTTCCTAAAATTACGTCACATTGGAAGGAGAATGAGGAGCTCATATCGTTGAAGAAGAAAGCAGAGTGTTGTTTACTGAATGCAATGTGTAAGTAAAAATGTGAGAGATGATGCATGCAGCCACTCCACTGCAATATTTCTTCGTTGGGCAGATTGCACTTAAAAATTTAGGCAATTGTAGTTAAAATCGGTTAAATGATTAAAGGGAAGTGCGGCGTGCATTAAAATTGTCGAAATAGGATGACTATAAAAGAGTATATTTCAGAAAAAAATTGTGCCGTCCCTCCTCCCCTTCGACACAAATTTACATCATTCACATGGCGTGCCCAATCGAGACAAACAGGAAAGATTAACGACTCGAAAAGATTCAGAAGTATCAACAACTGGCATACGAAATTCGCGAAAGAAGGCGTGGATCAAGTGAAGGCACGTCATTCTTGTATAGTCGGAGTTTAGGAAGTGGAAATTGATCCACTGTATAAAGATACAAATGTATTATTTGGAAGAACGGTATGCAAAGGAATGCAAAAGATGTTTCGAAGTCACAAATCCTGGCTGCGTAAATATTGATGGATTTGATTGAAACTATTGAGGCCTGGGAACAAGTTTGGGTGAAGTAATAGACTGAAATATGATAAGCTTTGGCCTAGCTAGAATAATCGACGTCAGTAGTCGTCAAACGTCTGTACTTTAATACAAACTATACAAATTGGCAATAATATTCGCGTCGGTCGAGCTTCCCGCTCATTGGCCCTATATGCCCCTGACATTGTGTCGTTACATATTACCACTGTTGGAAAATGTGTAGAAAGGCCACAAAAACAATAGCTACTTTTACCGAAAGTTTCAGTTCATCGAAATTATGAAACCTATGGCTATGCCTATCGACCTGTGGCTGTGGTTAATACTAATGTCAGCCATGTGGTTTTCAATAGAAATATAAGCGTAGACTAGAAATCTGTCAAACTATTATATATAAATGCGCTCCCACTAACTGCGCTAAGTAGACTGATAATTGAAAAAATATAGTCATTAGTACTGCCTTGGCTTCAAAGCGTGTTCACTGTCATTGGTAGCTAAATTTATATACACGAAGAAGCATATTGATTAACTTTGTGGTTTGTCTGTATGATTAAATGAATTGAAATACAGCTATTGTCGGCTGTTATAGTCCGTTGTAAGGAAACACATAATACAAGAAAACGATGACGAATGTTGAACAGCCAGAGATGTTTCACTGTGCATTCAAGCAGCAGGCATCCGTAGCTGCTGGACTATCGTTTGATTGTATCTGTAGTTCTATATAGCCGACAGTGGGCAGTGCTGTGAAGCGATAAGAAAATTGCCACTGCATGGTAATCGCGATATATAATGGGAATAGAATTGTCTTTGGAAATTATGTAGCTGAGCGACATCGTTGCAGGCTCATCACAGATCAAAAGTGGTGAGATTTTGACGCGTCGAATACCGGTACTCTTGGTAGGCAATATAGGTGTCTCCACAGTGGTTTCATATTGCTATGTCATGGCCGAGAAGAAATTTGTTCCTGGTAGTTTATCTGGAAGTAAAATAGCAGGGAATAAACCCCAAAGACCACAAACACAGCAAGCTGAACACACTACATCGAAATCGTCTCTGTACGCACCGGTAGCGTGGGTTCGACGATTTAGTATCGAGGATAGTCTTAAAGTTGATAATGTGAAGTTAATGCCAAGCACGGGACTCTGTTCAGTCGGCGCGACACTGAAGACACTAAATGCAATGGAAGTTGTGAGGAAAATTATCTTACAGCACTTACAAAGATGTTCAACAGCCGCATGTTGGCTGGGCTTCATTGCCGCTGCACTAGCGGTCATTGACGTCGAACTAACACATCGCGTACATTTGAGCGCTGAGAACTTCACCTCAATAGAATTGGAAAACCTAACTGTAAGCGAGGTTACAAGCGTGTTCACAAAATGCATTATCTCTCTACTCACGCTCTTGATGTGCATCAATGTTTACTTAACATATGCGAGTGTTTGCAAATTTAATATTGCCAGAAATCTTTTGCCGGATTCCGCGACCGTTTTCAACTCAAATTTGCTCATCTATTATCTACTCGAAAATGCTTTGTGTCTGTTTCACGTTCCGCCGTTGGCTGACCGTTACTTGGGCATATCTTATAAACTACAATTATTTGTCCTAGTCAGGATGTATGTTATTGCACGGTACATGAAGGAACACAATCAATTCACGAGAAATAAAACTTGTCTGTTCCTAGCGTCTGTGACGCGAACCGAGCTCACGAACATGTTTTTATTCAAGACGTTTTTGAAAAAGATGCCGTTTCGCGTGATTGTGACGGCCTATTTGCTGAACATCTTTCTTGGTGCGTATGTTATATATATCGTTGAGGAGAAGGATTCCTATCTCGTAAGTAAGCTTGTTTAATGTCAATAATATATTTTAATTTTGTGGACTTTTAAAGCATAAATTGACAGCTTTAAACAAACAAAGGAAGCCACATGCATGGCACTTACGCAGGCCGAATCAAACTTGTAAGGTTACTGTTACGAGTGAAAATCCTGTAAATATCTGCACAATATTGAGCCCAATCAAACAAGTCGGAAATCACTCGCCAATTAACAGACATATATAGCTAGGCGCCGGCACATACTGTAGCTAATAATCCCATCATTCCGAGAATGTCGTCGAGTTCGACGTCGCGATGCTCAAATTATTTTGTTACTTTCTCATTTAATTCTGTTCCCTCGGAGAGTCTTGCATGCTTTTACTTTGGATGTAAAACTACCTAGCATTGAACATATATAGCACATACTAAACAGAAGGTTATCGCAGATCTAGAACCTTAGCCTATAGGATGGACGCGAATTAATGAATTCGAACTTCGCAAAACGCGCACACACATAAACATGCCAATATCTTAGATTTATCTACAGACAACAAAGCATGCCGTTTAGGCTACAAAGAGGAAGGACGTGCATTCTAGCGCATCCTATAATTCAATCGTTTTAATATCTACATAGCTATTGCCTATAGTATCCTAGCTACAGTTATCCGCTATTTTATAATTATCCGTTAACATGCATATTTATCAACATTGCTGACCCCATTGCTGTCATATTATTTCCAAAACATCTGTAACAAAATGTAAACCTATGATTTCTACTAGACGTAATTTAATGTCAAAAATACTGCGTTTTTAAATCACACATACATTGACAATTTTTTTCCTTTCCATTTCAATTCATATGACATTTTTAGTCGCAGTATAACATGCAAGCGTACACCACAGTTTTGTTTTGATTGAAATCATGAATTGATTTGAAAATGATTCAGATCTCCCGCCGTGGTCGCAGCTGCGGATCAAATAGCCTCGCAAGCGGCGCTGGAATTGTCTTATTACGCTTTTCGCTCTATAGCACTCCACTGAGACAGTTTTATCTGTAATTTCAAGATAATTGGTTTTTGGAATATCTAACCGCAAAACCAAACTACCGCGCACTGTCAGATTAGCATGATGGACCCAATCATTTTCAAAATTTCAGACAGGCGCTATATCAACTTGTAGCCAGGGGAAATTGGAGCACTAGCCCCAGATTCTGAACTCCCCAATTGTCGTCACTGCCATGCTTTTTATCATAAAGACACAGTGTTCCTATATGTACGAATACGAGTGAAAAGATTAAATATGTACAAATATAACGACTGAACATAAGATCTGAACATTATCTCAACTTTCAATTGAAATGATCGAGCTTGTCTGCGATAATAATAAAACGGTTTCACTTTCAGGCACTCAGCCTCAGGTTTATGTTGTTAGAAAATTGATGAGAGGGAAACAGCCCGTTCGGGACTTAGTACGAACCTACACGTCCTAAATACCTAAATACTTCGTCATATACGATCTCATTATCCAATCTATGCAGAAGCTCCAGTAGAAGCTGTAGTTGAGACAATATGTTCGATAGAGGTAGAAGACAATTTTAATTACATCCTAAATGACCGGCACAAACTTTATGAATTATTACCGAGTAAAAACTTCTCAAACTATACTGATCTGAGTAAGTGAATATTTTTAACGCTGTTTTAGTAAAACAAATACATTTATAAATAGTTTTATTACTTTTATACCACATAACTCCATGATGTATTTTCATAAGTAATACCATTTCCTGAGTAACCACATATTCCGGCACTTCCCTATTCACGTTTAAAGCATGCCATTATTTTCATCCCAGTTTCTTATTTGCAGTTCGGCTGAAACGTATATATCTAAATCACAATCTAAATCCTGTTTTCGCGTACTTTATGCAATATTTCAAACCTACTATGTCATAGTAGGTTTGAAATTGATTACATAAAGTACGTAGTATGTATAGTCCTCATAGTCTATGAGGACTGGACTAGATTTCAAGTCCACGCAAGTCCAAGGACTGAATTAATTTTGTTCCAGTCCTAGGACTGCATCACTATATAGGCTTCGCTGGGTATGCAGCATTATCATGTGAGCAAAATAAAGCAATATAGCTGGCTAATTTACTCATGAATTATTTGAATGAGTTTGAGATGCAAATATTCCTGACCTGACTAGTTTAGCATATGCGGTTGCTGTGCTGTTCCACAACAATTTCTGCTCAGCGGAGGCTTTCATAAATCAACCATAAGCACAATAAGGGTCCTTCAGCAGTGTGGCGTTTTTTTGTACACTCATACGTATGCAATTGGGCAAGAAATTTTCTCAGTGGTGCTTCCGTATTTGGATATGAAGTTGACCCCCTGATCTGAAAATTAGAACTGGATAAAGCATTCTTTTGAATTTAATGAGCTAATTTTGAGGCCAGAATATTTTATAATGAGAAGATATTTCTAAATCTGTCAAAGGTACAAAATTTAGTTTTATTATCGAGCTCAAAGATACAGCTTCCCATATTTCTTCTAAAAGGTTTTGGAATTTGAACATTAGACAATGAAAGTGAGATAGCAACTTTATTGGGGAAGAGAAACCGCTGATCAATTTTTATCTAGACAATAATACGTGTCCTTTCCCACCACAATAAGCAGATGAACCTCTTCCAACAAGTCAAGAATACCACAGTACATTTGTGGTGACCACACCAATATTATCAATGATCCAATATGGCCGCTATTGATTTCATTTCAATAGCAGATGTACTCTGGGTGATTACTGAAAATTCTCCACGCTGATTGGTAAATTGCCGATGAGGTGACGGCCGAAACCGTTTTGTCAATTAAATGACAAAGAAATGTGTATTTTTTATTTTTTCCAAATAATCACCTATGAAATTATACTAAAACAGTTATTCACCACAGGTTCGGTTATTATCGTGAATAAAAATCTTGACTTCATCTCGGTTTTTATTCACCGATAATCACCTCGCCTTCGGCGAATAATTGTTAAATGTTCACTTAAATTTGAATTTATTGAATTAGTTATCAGTTTTACAGTGACAACAGGAGAACGAAACAGGGCAAAGCCCCTTTCATCGTGTGATAGTCTGATTGAACCTAGATATCTAGTGGTAGTGAGTTCCAGGTGGAAACAACACGGTGGAAATAGGAGTATTTTAGGTAATTTTGAGTTGCTCGCTGTGTCTTGTAATTCAGGGAGGAAAAACTACGGGTAATTACACGATCTTGGGCAGAGCAATGTTGTAGGGAGGGAAGATCTAGAACTATTAAGCCAAGTCTGTGTTTGAATAAAAGAATCTTGTCTTTCAAATCTCTTCTTTACTCAGGTAACATGAGGGATAACTAAATGACATGTCATGGGGTGAGCTGTTGCTTTTAATATACATTACGTTAAGATATAGCAATAACCCAATGCAATATACCTTACCCACTCGAACACTAAACAATGTATCATGCCGTGTTTTTGATATTATACCCCACCACATGCATCATGTAACCACGGGTAATTAACTTTAGAAAAATGTTTATAATGAGAATTTAGGTAAATAAGACCAGTCAGGTAGGAAAAATATCAACTGTGACATTCAAATTTCATCCATGAACATATGACACAATGACTTATTAATTTTATCAAAGATGTAATCAACAATGATAATGTGACAGGCAATCATCACATGTTCAGAATTAAATGTCAAGGAAGATTTGATATCCATCTTAGTGAGGAATCAATTCTTATGAAATGCGTCCTCACGCCTTCCATATAGATTATATTAAAGTAAGATAGGAGTCTTCTCACTTGAACCAATTTTTCGACATGTTCAATAATTATATATCCATCGCGCTCAAGACAAATCAGCAACTTTTTTCAATGTAACCGAATCCTTGCCATATAGTGACACGGAGCTCTGCCGGATCAAGTGAAGGGATTCCCATTATCATAGTGCAACCTAAAAAATGTAGTCTAGAAGTATAAGAACTGAAGATTGTAGACTGATATGGAAATATCACGATTTTTGTGGTATCTCACTCGAATGAATAATATTTGAAGGGTATTGTAGATGGAAATTGTCGATTGGAAATTTATATACATTTATTCACGGTGGGCATAAAAGACAGCGAATTTGGCCAAGTACATATAACTTTCTCTCGTTAGTTTGGAATATCACGAAACTCCCTCACAGGATAGAACTTAACATTCCTAGAAATCGTATGTTTTTTGTTTTCCGATTTTGTTACATTTTGGCGGGAAAATGACGTGCCAACTTTGGCGCCAAAAAATTAAACACGAACTAAGAACATGCTAGTAACTTTTTCGAAAAGATTGTCCTATAAGGATCTCAAAACTGTAAAAACATTAAAAATACAACAAGGCAGTGCGAAGATATGGCGATTCAAATTTCTATTTTTACTGAAAAATCAGCCATTTTGTTACTAAAAATAGATTTTTTTCGAACTTTGAATCGCCATATCTTCGCACTGCCTTGTTGTATTTTTAATGTTTTTACAATTTTGAGATCCTTATAGGACAGTCTTTTCGAAAAAGTTACTAGCATGTTCTTAGCTCGTGTTTATTTTTTGGCGCCAAAGTTGGCACGTCATTTTCCCGCCAAAATGTAACAAAATCGAAAAACAAAAAACATACGATTTCTAGGAATGTTAAGTTCTATCCTGTGAGGGAGTTTCGTGATATTCCAAACTAACGAGAGAAAGTTATATGTACTTGGCCAAATTCGCTGTCTTTTATGCCCACCGTGTATTAGACCAAACCAGGAACAGAAGCGAAAAATGCAACTTTAGGTCCTTGGCTTAACCTGCAGTCCTGCGATTTCAGTCCTGCAGTTCTGCGATTTTAGTCCTGCAGTCCTGCGATTTTAGTCCTGCAGTCCTGCGATTTTAGTCCTGCAGTCCTGCGATTTTAGTCCTGCAGTCCTGCGATTTCAGCGCTCTAACCAAGGGCCGCAGGTTCAATTCCTGCCAGGGACC